TCTATAAACATGACAAAAATTTTATAGGATAACTCTTTTAATATGAGGTAAAAAAATGATTGGATTCCATACTTTACATCATCAACTGTATCACTAACATAAAGAACCATTCAAGTTAATCAAACAATGTATTTTTTAAAACTCTAGAAAGCTTTTAAATAGTTTTCCGATCGTAATTTAAAAAGACTTTCTTCTTTACTTCTAGGTACACATACAAACACAACACAATTTCCAATATCAGTATTTAAATAAAGTCATGAAATGAAAAATATGAACAATTGATTCAATATCAAAATTATCATGAACATTTGATTGATCTATTGATTTAACTAAATTAGTTGCTAATCTAATCATTTACAACTTTCTTCCTTTATCAATAGTTGAAAGTCCTCATCTACAAGTAATTCTTGAAGAAGCTGAACTATCTTATGTTATTTCAAAATGAAAATATTTTACTAATAAATTTTTTCAGGAAATGTATAATGAGGTTCAACGGAAAGTTTACGAAGAATTACAACAGGCACTCAGTAATACATTCTATATTTAAGATAATCTACAGATTGTCTTTTTCTAATGTTTTAGACATCTATTTAACAACAGATATTTGGACTTCTCAAGCTAATCAAGCTTATATGACATTTACAGCACATTTTATTGATTTGAAGAATAATAAAATAAAAAATGTTGTATTAGTAAGAAGAGAACTTATAAGAAATCATACAATTGAATGTGTTGTAGAACAATTAGAAAATACTTGTAGTACTTGGTCAATTGGTGAGAAAATCATTTGTTTACTATTTGATACTTGTCCTACTATGAGAAGAGTAGGAATTGAATTTGGAAATAATTTGATTTTACTTATAATTTTAGACTTGTAATAGTTATTGATTTATATATAGAATGGATTGGTTGTGTCGATCATCTTATTAATTTATCTACTAATGTTATTGTTCGAAAGGCAAGATGAAATGAAAAATATATTTTCGATAATTTGATACATCGTCTTATGTACTAGAGATAGGGATGTGCAGTATCAGTATACTGACCACCGATAAAATCGCACTGGCGTTCACCGGTACGGTGACGACACTGACACTGAGCGCACTGTCTGCAGTGACGCACTGACGCTGAGCGAACTGTTTGCAGTGAGGCACTGACACTGAGCGAACTGTTTGCAGTGAGGCACTGGCACTGAGCGAACTGTTTGTAGTGAGGCACTGGCACTGAGCGAACTGTCTGCAGTGACGCACTGACACTGAGCGAACTGTCTGCAGTGACACACTGACAGTGACCGTACTGTCTACACTGACACTAATATTCACTGAACCAGTGCATACTAGGAGTGTCGTATTAGCATTAAGTTAAAAATAATGCTAATGTAAAAGCATTAGCATGAACAGTTAATGCTAATGCTTTAGCATTAATGGCATTATTGTTAATGAATGCTTAGGCGTTAGCATTAATTTAGCATTATTTTTAATGCTAATGCGTATATGCAGAACAATTCGAGACTGCTACCTTGCATACTACCATAACTTTTTAAGGGCTACCATGGGGCACTCTTTGTAACTTTTCAAGGGCTACCAGGGGGCACTCTTTGTAACTTTTCAAGGGCTATCAGAGGGTACTCTTGGTAACTTTTCAAGGGCTACAAAGAGATACTCTTGATAACTTTTCAAGGGCTACCATGGGGTACTGTAGGTAAGGTTTCAAGGTCTACCTAGGGTACCCTTGATAATTCTTCAAGGGCTACGTAGGATACCCTTGATAACTCTTCAAGGGCCACCTGGAGGTACTCTTTGTAACTTTCCAAGGGCTACCAGGGAGCACTCTTTGTAACTTTTCAAGGGCTGCCTAGGGGTACCCTTGATAGCTTTTCAAAGACTACGATGGGATATGCTTTGTAACTTTTCAAGGGCTACCATGGCGTACTTTAGGTAACTTTTCAAAGGCTACCATGGCATACTTTAGGTAACTCTTCAAGGGCTACCATGGGGTGCCCTTCAGTGGCGTACGCAGGGGGCCAAGGGGCCCCGGGTCCCCCTTTGAAGACAAGTTCTCTGTGGGGGTATGGGTAAAAAAAGTACTACGGTACAAATTTTTGAAAAACTCCACTGCGGGTTCCTTCCTTGAGAATTTGGACCTCTCCCTTGGAAAATTTCTGCGTACGCCACT